CTGACGATCTTCCCAGAAACTTTCACTCAATTCACAATAAAAACTTTTAAACTGATTGCCTGAGTTTAAAAACAAAAAGGCTGTTAAAACTTTTCATCTATCACTTTATAATTTAAAATTTTCATTGTATATATTTTGTTATTGTGCCTTCGGTTCCAACTCATAGTGACCCTGTATAGCATTTCCAAGGAGCAGCTGGTGGCCTTTGAACCACCAACTGTGGCACTGTAGTATCAGCACTGGACTTTGAACCACAAGGTCAGCAATTCAAACCCACCAGATGCTTCTCGGAAACCCTATACAGGGTCACAACGAGTCAGAACCAACTTGGCGGCACTTAACATGAACAACCTTGTGGTTAGCAGTCCAGTGCTTATCCTACAGCACCACACCAGGATTCCACTGTATATATGGTGGTGGTGGTAGTATGCCATGGAGTCAGTTCTGACTCATTAACGACACTGCATACAATTTCCGAGGCTGTAAATCTTTACTAGTGCATAAAGCCTCATCTTTCTCCTGCAGAACGTCTGGTGACCTTGAGGTTAGCAGGCTGACTTGTAAACTAATTTTTTTTTTTAAATCCATAGATGCTCAAGACTCAGTTCAACTATAATTATTATAATCTCTGGAGATTAGGACTAGTAATCAAAATGCTTCTATCTTTAAAATAGGAGCTCTGGTAGCGTAGTGGTTACAAACTGGGCAGCGAATCTCAAGATCAGCAGTTCAAAACTACCAGCTGTTTTGCAAGAGAAAGATGAGGCTTTCTGCTCACGTAAAGATTTACAGCCTTGGAAACCCTGTACAGGCAGTGGCACATAACCACTACCACCATCTTTAAAATATTTAAAACATTAAATGCTGATCAGTTAGCTTTAGGAAATATCCACCTACACCATTCATATGCTATTTATTGCTGTTGTTAATTTCCATTGTCAGTTCCAACTCATAGCAACCCCAGATAGCGCTTTTGAGGCTGAAAATTTTTTGTGGGAGCAGAAAGCCTCTTCTTTCTCCCAGAGGAACTGATGGGCTCAAACCTCCAACCTTGTGGTTTGCAGTCTGGTGCTTATCCTACAAAGCTACTGCACTCCCTCACATGCTATTTATTGTCTCATTAAAGTACACATGTGAGAATGTATCTTTTATATCCCTAACTAGGAAAACATATGGTAGAGAGAATATCTTATCTTTTTTTGTTTTCCCCGCTCAGAGATGGCACCCAATAACGTTTGTTTACTGTAGAAGTATAATGCCATTTTTCTACTGCATTTCACTCCAGTATGAAAGGGTCTTTAGAAACACATTTAAATATCAGGTTCATGGGATAGTTACAAATTGCCACTTTCAATATATGAAGGGCCATAAGTCACCAATGTTTACAATTTTTTCTTTTTTAAAGGACCTAAGTGTGATTAGATTGCAATGGGCAAATAATGAAGCCAAACCTAAGATCATAAGATTTAGGGATAAATTAGATTTCATATTTTATGTGAAGAAGTAGAAGTAAAATCTAATAAAAAATTATAAAGTGTGTGGATATAAGATGCCAAATACATTTTATTACAGAAAACACACAAAGCCCTTCCTTTCTAAGGAAATGTACTGTTGTCCTTACTCAAGGTGATAGGACACTTTCACAGCCTTCAGTCTTCTCTTCTACCGGTACTTTCCATGTCGATTAAAGTGTTTGTAAAGATAGCTGATGCGTTTGTTAAGTTTGTGCAGGTCATCAATGAACATTCGATTCCCAACCATTCTCTTCTTTCTGATACAACGTTGTAATTCATTCCCCTTCCAACCTCGAAGCCATTTGGGACCCCTGATCAGTTCTTTGGGGTGCTTTTCAAAGTTACCTGAATAATGTTAGAGAACATATTAGTTCCATGACAGAAGAACCCAGCCTAGACCAGCTAAACTTTCAACTTGTATATTCCTGAGCAGCACTTGTAGTCAAGATGCAGTACAGTACAGTGTCAAGAGAAGGCTAGAGTCAGACTGCATGGGGTTCATGTTCTGGCACTGTCATTTACAGTTTTGAAAAAAAATCACTAAACCTCTCTTCCTCAGTTTCTTCATCAGTATAATCAAAGGGCTATAATGAGGATTAAATGGGCACACAGAGCAATGCTAAAAAAAAAAACATTGGAGACAGCCACATGAGTGCTCTTATTAAGTGAAAATGGTACCATTAACCACGGGGGTGAGGGGAAAATAAAGATAGCCATTACGGCCTAATTGTCAGGCTTACCCAGAATCCCAATGTTGTCATACACCCCGAATATGGCCCTCTTCTCGTTCCAACGATCTACCACTTTAGGGGGTGGGAGGGTAAGCCTTACATGGAACAATCTAGAAGCACCTACAGATGAGGGGAATAATAGAATGAGTCTGAGACATCTACTGAAATCAGTTCTCGGGACGTCGTTCTACATTAGCTACTTACCCAGAGAGAAACTTCTGCAGGCCAAGGGCACCCAGCTCCACAGGCCTCTGCCAGCCCAAGAGAGGCTCCCTGCCATCGCTCTCGTCTCTCTTACAACGGCACAGTGCACGGGACTAGACGACGGGAGCCGTCACTGCTGGTCCATCAGGACACCACTGGAAGCAGCCATCTTGGCCCCTTCCCAGGGAGCTCTGGGCGCAGGACCCGCCCCTTCCACCAGGTTCCGGCACACAAAAGTCTCCGCAAGCTTCTCCCCGCCTTTCGAGGCGCTTCCGGTCAGTCTGACAGTGTCTAGGTGAAGCAGTCATCTGTTCACCATTTAGGGCTACCCTAAAACTGAAATCTCAAGAAAGTACGCTCTTTCCTGATTCCTCTTCCATCAGTTGTGAAGAAAATTAAAATCTGAAACCTGAAACTTCGGGATGTTCAAAGATGAAGCCCTTTCCTCTGAGCAGTCTTGGCGCTTCAGCTATTTTATTATTCCATTTTACAGAGGAAGAAATTTGAGACACGTAGAACGAAGTGACTTTCCGGACATAACACTAGAGATGAAAGTTAGATTAGAACCCAACCCTATTAACTTCCGGCCTGGACTCGCTTCCCATCCTGGAGATGCCTAAGTGGCAGATACTACCAAAGCCTCCCATAGAAAATGGTACCCTGCCGCCGTATGGCAGAGCCCCGGGTGATGATAGGAGGGTCCGGGTGGTGGGCTGAATCGGACCCCAGGCTCCGCCTCTCAGCGGCACACTGGTCTCTCTGCTGTGATTAGCCGGAATCTCCAGCGAGCATCACGATTGGCCTCTTTACAGCCGTTGATATTTAAACTGAGGTAGTGGCTTTCGCTAGTGTGGCGCCTAATTCAGAGGCGGGTTTTTGTCTGCTCCTGATGGGGATTGGCTAGTTTCTCCGCCCTCTGGAAAGCTGCGTCGCTGATTGGTGTCTATTGTGCGGTTCTTGTGTTTTTCCTTCCATTTAGTTCGGGTAACCGGAGTTGTTGGAGCGGCGGGTGCAGACTCAAGTAAGGTGTGCTATTTATTCATTGGGGAAATGGAGCCGTGCGATTCGGTGTTAGGCAGGGAACGAGAATGGGGATATCCTGGAGATGCGATGTGATAGAAAGCCAGACCGATCCTCAATGAATCATGTAATTTGGGCAAATCACCTTTCTTAATCAAAATGTCCTCATTTGTAAATCAGGTTCACAAATGCATTCCATGGGCTTAGAGCTGGAAGGGTTCAGCTAGAAATGATATATTTAAGTAGCGTAACAGTGTGACACTGAGTAAACAAATAATAAATGTTCTTCCAGGGAAACTCACTGCCTCTTGCTCGGCCTCTGCTGTGGCCTCTAGTGAGAAATCTATACTTAAGCAGCTTGTCCTTAAAAATGGTAATAATAATGCTGATTTTATACACAGGGAACCCTGGTGGTGTGGTGGCCAAAGCGCTTGATTGCCAACTAAAAGCAGCTTGAAGTGAAAGATAGTCTGCTTTTGTAAAGAATTACAGGTTTGAAAACCCCAAGGGCAGATCAGAATCCACTCATGCCTTTGAGTTAGGTTGGGTTGGGTTCATGGCACTTTACAGTTCTTTAAACACTTTCATAGCCCTTGAATCATTTGATCCTCAGAGCAGCATTGTGATTCTCAGAGGATAGTTAAGCCATTTTACGAAGAGGCCAGAGTGTTTAGTGACATAACCAGAATCACAACTAAAATGAGATTCTCATCTCTGGTTGATCTTGAGTCTCACATCCATTAAGATAACATTAATTGACTCTAAAAGTTTTATTATATATTGGTGTTGAAGAAAATAATTTGTTGTTAAGTGCTGTCAAGTCAATTCAGACCCTTGGTGACCCTGTATAGGGTTTCCAAGGAGCAGTTGGTGAGCTTGAACCACTGACTTTGCAGTTCAAACTGACTTTGCAGTCCAGTGCATTAACCCACCACACCACACCAGGAATCTGAACAAAATAATTGTTGTTGTTGTTTTTGTTGTTGTTAAGTGCTGTGGAGTCCAATTCCGACCCATAGCGACCCTGTACAGGGTTTCCGAGGCTGTAAATCTTTATGGGAGCAGAAAGCCTCACCTTTCTCCCGCGGAACAGCTGGTAGTCTCGAACTGCTGATCTTGAGGTTCACAGCCCGATTTGTAACCACTACGCTATCAGAGCAACTTGAACAAAATAATAGAACCATATAAAAAGCCAGGACTCAAATATAGACCCTAACATTTCTGCTGTTTGCTTTCCAGCCCTGTGAGCCTGTGGGAAAAATATGTCTCCTCAGCTGTATGAATTCCATCTGCCCTTATCCCCAGAAGAGTTACTGAAAAGTGGAGGGGTGAATCAGTATGTTGTGCAAGAGGTGCTGTCAATCAGACATCTTCCAGCACAGCTTAAAGGTAAGACCACATAGCTGTGCTAAGCATTTCATTGTCTGTCTGTTCTACTCTTACCATGCAACTCCATGAGGGCTACCAACAGGTCTTTCTATACCCGACTCTTCATTCCCTACACTTATTAACCACCTTCTCTGGATAATTCAATGAATAGTCTTTGTGTATGTATGTATCCTTTGGGGGAAAATAACTTTAGATTTTTACTCTTTGTTATTGTGGTTAAGTGCCATCCAGTCAATTCTGACCCATAGCAACCCTGTGTAGGGTTTTGTTTTGTTTTGTTTTTTAAAATGTTTTATTGTGAATTATATGATAGTTTACATGGGAGAACTTTAGTTTTACATTCATTCCATCATTTATCATCTCACTGCCATGGTTCCAATCCCCTCCATGCATCATCAACCACCCAAAGGGTATATCCTAGAAACCCGTCCCCTACACTTCCCCCTCCTCCCCCCAGTTTTCAGCCCATAGTCCCTTTCCCTCTCTGGGACCAAAGTCCCCAGCTGCTTCATCACTCCACGTCATCGTCTCTGTCTCTATCTCTATTTCAGGCATCTCTGTTTCTCTGGGTAGGGTCCAGCTCTCTGCTCTTCTCCATTGATGGTCCCAGAGACCTCCGCTCCTATCCTGGAGAATTAATCACTCCCTTCCTTGTTACAAAACGTCTAC